AGTTAATTATTTATTATCAGTGTTACCGCGTATTACTAGTATTAACTTCGAATTTTCATAGGTCTTTCTTATTTACTTAGTCTCTTTGGAGGTATTTTTAACTAATACTGTTGGGGTTTTAAGTAAAAATTTGATTTTAAAATAATTAATTTTTGGCTTGGAATGAACATTGCTACAAATTCTAAAATATGCATGTTATCAACAAAAATAAAACTTGATGTGGTAGGAAGAAAGAAGCTGTATTTTAATTTAACGTATTGATCCATTTCCTCATATCTGCAATATTAAGGGGACCAGAATTTTATAACATTCCAGGAGGACAAATTCTCCACATTGAAAACACAAAAAAAATTTATATTTACTTTAACACATAATTAACGAATAAATTAACAATTTAAAAATCTCTAAACACAAGTCAAACAATTTAATAGTACACTTTGTTGCATAATTATCACACCGCCACATAATTATCATTGTATTACTTGCAAAAGAAATTGCTTGTTCCTCGTATTTCGTCAAAGTTTGATTATAATTTTGTATCAACGCTATATCTCGTTCAGCAATATCATTAACATATTTAATACTCTTAATCGTCTCTAAGACAACAAACTTCAGGGTAATTTTTTAGAGAATTTAATTTAATAATTTTAACGGTCCAAAAGTTGTAACAATTTAAATGAAAACAAATTTTTTTACATGTTACTTACATATACAATACTTAAAATTGGACACCTGCTCCAGATTATAATTTGATATTGAATAAACAGCTGATTGAATAGCCCTTGAAGAGAAACACATAACTTTACAGTTTTTAAGGTTTAGTGGCATATAGTTTGCATGACACCAACTAACCACGTTGCCTAGATCCGCTTGTGACAAAGACCTTTCTTCGATAGAGGACAATGTTTTAAAAAGTTTCACATCATCGGCATACATTCAAATTTTTTAATATTTTATTTTAGAAGAAATATCATAAATGAATATCAGGAACAGAATCCGACCAAGGTGGCTTCCCTGAGGAACTCCTGAAGAAACTTTAATGATGTTGGAAGAACAATTATTAAAAATAACTATTTGTGTTCTATCGGAGAGGTAAGAAGAGATCCATTGAATAAGACTGGGCTGAAAGCCGATTAGGTCGAGTTTAGGGATGAGTCACGAGTGACATACCCTGTCAAAAGCTTTACTGAAATCGGTGTATATTACGTCGGTATGAGCATTTTCTCTAAAACCGTTTGAGACATGAGTTGTAAACTCCAATAAATTAGTGATAGTAGATCTTCCTTTAGAAAACCCGTGTTGAGATTGTGAAATTGACGAAGATATAGAATATGTCAGTTGATTAACAACAATTGCTCCGAGTAATTTGGGGATAGCGGAGAGCTTCGCTATGCCTCGATAGTTTTCTATAGAAGACCTGCTGCAGCACTGTGTTCTGTTTTGGGAAAAATTGACAAAATCAAATATCTCCCGATCCAGGTAGAGACATAAACTAAACGGCATTATAAAGCCCAAATATTAATGAATACGGGAAAATTATTCAGATTCTTCAAAAACAGTTTCTCGGCCTTGAATTCCAGGGTCAACCAAAAAAAAAAATTGTATATAAAATCAAATATCTAGCTATCGAAAATTAATAGAGACCTAAATGAAATAGTATTTTAAACTCCAAGTATTGCTGAAAGGAGCCAAACTGTTTCGATTCGTCAAAAATAAATTCCCTATCGTGAATTCCGAGGACAATGGTCAACACAAAAAAAAAACATTTTTTCTGATTTAAACATAGCTAAATGTTTTTTTAAATCGTATTATGCGATATAAATACATATAAATACACATATGTATGTGTGGTGGGTCATATCTATATATTTTTAATTACACAATATCACATCTATATACATATAACAAAAATTCGTCCTTGTATGTATATTCGTCCTTGTGTGCATACATACATTTGTGTGTGTGTGTTTTTTTTTTGTTTGAAGTTGAAAGCCGAAAAGTGTGGGACTTGCCTTTCTGCTTTCCGCACAAAAAACCCACCCCTGCTCCGATTCCCTCGCTCCATGGAACTACCGTTAGGTATTACTTCGCGGAAGGGGAGCGGCCTATTGCCTTTCTATGAAAACCTACGGATTTGCTCCGCTCGACGCAATTTAGTTAAAATGGTGTTTGCCATATTGCAAACAACGGACCAGTTTTCTTCTGACTCAAGCATAGTATCCACTAGGTTTTCAACCGTAAGTGGCCTCCCCACCTTCATGCTCGAGTCATTCCTTTCGATTGCAAAACCTCGGACAGACGAAAAAACCGTTTTCAGCGTCTTCAATAACGTCATTTGCACAGAAGGTGCAGTAAGGATCATCTTCGTGTTTGAATTTATGTAAGATTTAAACCAACCATGTCCCGTCAGTATTTGGGTTAAGTGGAAGTCCACTACACCGTGCCGTCTTTCTAGCCAGCTCCGTAAAGAAGGAATTAGGCGATATGTCCAGCGTCCCTTACCTGAAGTGCTCCATCGACTCTGCTACCTCTGCAAACAATTTCGCTTCGCCGCGTCACGACTTGTCTTATTCACTGTGGTTTCAGCCACCTCTCTTGCCAAAATGGCAATTGGGCAGAGCCCAGATATTACAAGCGCTGCTTCCTACGACGTTGTTCGGAACGCGCTACACACTCTAACAGCGCAGAGTCAGTAGAATGATCTTGCCTCTCGTGCGTATGAAGCTTTATCGTGAGCAACTAACCAGATTGGTACACCATAGAGGAGACTACTTCGCACCACTCTTGCGTGCAGCTATCTGCTTTGTTGCTTAGGGCCCCCCGTGTTCACCATAAGTCTTGATAGAGCCGCTGTAACTTTTTCTGATTTCTCTACTGCATATTCTACGTGTGTCTTAAATGTCAGTCTATCATCGAACATAATTCCTAGGTATTTAAGGGCAGCTTTTGAGACGATTTCATGTCTCCCCCACTCTAATGGTGACTGCTTCGCGCACTTTTCTACTGCTTATAAACACTGCCTCGGTTTTTTGTTGCGCTAACTCAAGGCCCGCTTATGCCAGCCATGTCTGGATTTTAGAAACTGTGAGGTCTGCCTTATGCTTCACCTCCGTTATATGCTTGGCTACGACTAAAACAGCAATATCGTCTGAAAAGCCAATAATTTTCGCACCCTTGGGTGAAATACACATTTGCATCGTACATTACGTTCCAAAGTAACGGGCCCAGAACAGATTCTTGAGGCACTCCACCAGTAATTTGGTATTCCTTGACCCCTTCGTTCGTATCGTAGAGAAGTATCCTATCTGTCAGGTAACTGTTTATGATTCTCTTGGGATTTCAAAACGACGAAGTGCTTCAACGATTTTCTTCCAATTTGCGGTATTGAACGCATTTTTAACGTCTAGTGTAACTAGCAAGCAGTATTCCTTTGTTCCCCCCTTCCATCTCACTCCACTGATCGCCTCTTCTGCCAACTGCTTCACTAGCATGGCCGCATCCACTGTAGATCGTCGTCTCTTTCTAAAACCAAACTGCGTCTCTGAGAGGTTCCCACCCGCCTCGATTTCTGTTATCAGCCTGTTGCCTATTATTCGCTCAAATAGTTTCCCGGATGTTTTCCTGCCTTAGGTAAAAGGCCTAGCCGTTGGCGCTTCCAGATGGGTGGAAATACACCATCCTGAAGACATTTACTGTATGTACGAGCGAAATCTTCGATGTTCGCACTAGCAACTAGTTTTAGAATGCGATTTGGGACCAAGTCAGGACCTGGTGATTTTATGTCTTCAAATCTCCTAACCGTGAGTAGAACCTCTTCCGGCATAACTGGAGGAAACTGGAGTTCTGTAGTGGGGAATTTCTCCCACTCGAAGGGGGGCTGTGCTGGAAAAAGTGCGCTTATTATTTCTTCCAGCTTTTTCGGGCACGAAATCTGCGGTCGTATCGACTTTTGTAGCTTCTTAGTAACGACTTTGTATGCTAGACCCCAGGGATCTTTATCGGCGCTGTCACACAAACTACGAAAGCACTTATTTTTACTGCTTTTTATAGCCCGTTTTAGTTGAGTACGATTTACTTTGTAGGCTCTTTGATGCTCTGCAAAGGGTGTGTTTTGACTTCTAGCTCTCTGATAGTTTCGTCTTGCCCGGTTGCATTGCTGACGTAGTTCTGCGATCTCTTCGTTTCACCAGTATACAGGTGGGCGTCGGGACGACGAAGACTTTCTCCTCATTGAGGCGTCGCAGGCCATTTTAATGTGGGCCATTAGATGATTTTCCAAATTCGTAGCTCCCTCCGGTAGTACAATGTCAGTCACCATCGCTTTTAGTGCCTCTTCATCAAGAGTGTGTATCCTCCATCCAACTAGTCGCTTTCTGGAGTTGTTATGTCCACTTACTTCTGTATGTATCGAGAATATAATAGCTTGGTGATCGCTATGCGTATAGTCTTCGCATACCTCCTAAAATGCGCGCCTAAAAAGCCTGTTGCTTACGTATGTCAGGTCAATAATGGAGCCCATTCCATCTTTCCGGAACGTAAACTTGTCGCCTGTATTTAAGAGTGCCACATCTAGTGCTGATAATCCTGCAAGGATAGCCCTTCCCTTAGTATAGTGCGACGGCTTCCCCATTCACGGGCCCATGCATTAAAGTCGCCTGCAATTACTACAGATGTTCTGGCTCTCGCGTCTCCATCAAGGTTGTCCATGATGTTTTCAAATTCAACAAGGTTGGAGCTAGGTGGTATATAGCAACTATAAAGAATCAATTCCGATACCAGTACGCAGACAAAACCTGTATCCGTTAGTTGTTGTATTGCAATAGGAGTTTTGGCACAGCTCGATATTGCTGATCGTCCGCTGGTGTCACTAGCCCATAGTTGATCATTTACAACTCTGTAGGGCTAACTCAATAGTTATATGTATATGTGTTTCTCTCTTACCATCTGTTCTAGAAGCTCTTGTGCCGCCTTGCAATGATTTAAGTTCAGTTGCAGAAATTTCATGGTGCACGTGCTTTTTTCAACGCATCTTTATAGTAGGGGTATTCCTTGCCGCCAGTCCTGTGCTTGACCTGCGATGGGTTTCTTCTAGAGCAAATGGTGCATTTCGCCTCTTTTTTGCATTCAACAGCTTCGAGGTTTGGCTCCCCGCAATTAAAGCATGCGTTTTTAACGTCGAAAGTGCTTTTGTAGTTCCAAGCAAGGTGACCAAACTCGAGGCACTTGGAACATTTTACCGGCTGAGTTTTCTCGCGTATTCGGCCAATCACCCATCCTACACGGACTTTACGCACTGCTAACAGTTTGTTTGCTATAGGAGCTGGTAGCAGGAGAGTTGCTGTTTTAGATCCGCTGTAGGCACTTCTTAAAGATTTTAAGCTTTCTTCCGAAAACTGTATACCATCAAATTTTTTTTCCAGGGCAGTACAAAGCTCTTCTTTGCTTGTAGTTGCGTCCAGGTCCCTAATCTCTATAGCCGTTACTGATGTTAGAGCCTGTACCGATGCTTTCTCACCTAGCGCTGTTTTAACCCCACGTTGGATATCCTGCGTATGCGAGTCCGTGGGTTTAGTCAACTGAAGAAGAAGGTCCCCGCTGGCCGTTTTCCGTACTTTGGTTATTACTTCACCAACATGCTTAAGCTGAGGGTCACTCTTCACTGTTTTAAGTATATCTACGTACGATCCCCCGCTGCTACTCTTTATTACTATCGCATATGGGCGTGTTTGCTTAGTACTCGTCTTCCTTTTGGGCTGGACCATCTTCCATTGGGATTCTTCCTCGACACCTTTACCTGGGTCGCTACTCTTTCCCTTTGCTTCTTCTGGTGACGCTAGTTTTCCTCGTAGCGCTGATTTTCCGCCTCTTGTGTTTTTATGTGTCGGAAGTGAGCCCCTAGTGGCGATTGGGGTCATCTGTTGGGCTACACTCATCGTTTCCCTTGGAACAGTAGTCATCATTTTGCCATATAGGACAGGTAGCTCAGCAATGGTGTCACGCATTGGTTGATGTATGTACCTCCTCTAACCGTCCTCCAACATTTCATTTAGTTCCCGGATTTTCACTCCTAGTGTAACCCACGCGAGATTTTCGACTACCGCAGGTGATGGTGACCACGACTGCGGCGGCGAATACACGATTCTAGGTCGCTTTTCGTCCGGGTTTAGTAGTATACCGCCATCGGTCGCACTAATATCCTGGAGTGAGGAACCTAGAGCTTCTGTGGTAATTCGCCCTGAAGGGGCGACCTTATGACACTCATACTAATTATCAATTTTTTTCCGCCCTGATCTAGTAATCAATCGCGCTTTACTACTACAGTGGCTTCAAAATGTGTATGTATATTTGGTTTCAACCCTCGCTAACAGCTGTTGACACTAATCTGTTCCCACTTTTGGTAGACATGCTCAGCTGTATTTGACACTTCAGTGCGATAGAACTTTGTTTTGTTTTGCTGTCTCGTTCACTATGCAATTTCACTCAAAGGTCCGCGAGTATTCCGCAAAAACAATAAGGCGCGAAAATGGATAAATGCCATAAGTGCAAGAATCCAATTCGCGGTGACAGCGGAATCCGCTGTGATGGTGTGTGTGGTAAAGTGTGGCACTGGGCAAAAAAATGCTCTGAATTGGATGAGTACAGTGCGAATGTACTCAAAGAAAACAACTTTGTGCGCTTTATGTGTAACCAATGTCACACATACATGCATAACATCGATGAGGTGCTCCGAAATATGAACTTAACAATAGAGAAAAATAGTCAAAAGATCCAAGAGTGTAATGATGACTTCCAGGAGTCGCAGAAAATGCAAGTGAAAGAGCTTAAACTTCTCTTGCAATCAATAGAGAAAAAATTTGGGGAACGCATTGATGCAATGCAAAGAGTACAAAAAACCTGTGAGGCGAGTATTCTCGAAGTGAACCAAATTAAGTCAATAGCTGACGGCGTAAAAAAGCAAAGCCATGATCTTTGCGAAGCCATAGTGCGCAATGAAAATGAGAACAAAAAAATTTGTGAAGAGATAAAGAAATCGGTGACTGCTGACGCGTTAGCAGGTCAGCGGGCGAAAGCCACTTACGCGGATCTCTTTAAAGGTAATACTGCGAAAGATAATAGGCCGCCGAAAGTAAATAAAGAGAAGCCATTAGTTCTACAACCAAAAGAGAAGCAGGAAGTGGGAAAAACAAAAGAAGATTTGAACAAAAATGTTGACCCCTCGGGCTTGAAAATTAATAGTGTACAGGGGAGGAAAAGTGGGGCTGTAGTAATACAAACAGAAAATGAGGCTGAGCGTGAAAAAATCAAAAAGGCAATAGAGAATAAAATGAGTGATAGATATGAAATAAAAATCCCAAACGAAGCCAAGCCAAGGTTCATGGTATATAGAATGAGCTTTAAACATGAGAATGAGCAGCTCAGGGATATGATAAAAAAACAGAATGAATGCTTCAAAAATGGTAATTTCTAAATTTTGAAATGTTTTGAAACAAAAAGAGGAAATGCAAAACATTATAATGCGTTAGTAGAAACAGATGTAGATGCGTTTTCAGCCGTGCTGGCAAGCGAAAAAATAAACATAGGTTGGGAAAAATGTAGAGTCAAAGATGGAATGGATGTTACTTTCTGTTTCAAATGCAAGGGATTTAACCACATAGCTGCGAAATGTAAAGCCGATGAGGTATGTTTCAAGTGCCTAGATAACCACAAAACTATGGAATGTTCTAAGGAAACATTAAACAAATGCATAAACTGCATTCGTGCTAATAAAAAATTTAACTTAGGGCTTGATGAAAATCATATGACATTTAACCGACAGTGTCCTGTATACCAGAAAAAGCGTGAGCATAAAAGAAATACTGTAAATTACTAACAATTACAGCAAGTTTGTGGGGACCCTAGCGTTGAGTTTACGTCTCACCCAGGTGTAAAGAAAGCGCTACCCAAATATTTGCAATGCGTATATCTCAATATACAGAGTTTAGTGGCTAATAAAGTTGAGCTAGAAATACTTATAGATTTTACCGACCCGGATCTACTTTTGTGTTCCGAAACATGCCTAACTGATGACATAGAGGATACGGAAATAATGTTCCCGGCGTATCAGATGATACGCTGCGACTCACACAGTAGACACACAGGGGGAGTGATAATACTCGTTCGAAACACGCTCGGTTTTAAAACAATAACTAACAAGGCTTTAGACAAAAATGTTTGGTGTATAGTTATTCAACTCACACACTGTGATACCAGGTGGCAGCTCGGGGTGGTTTATCACTCCCCAAGCTCAAGTGATGCGGAATTTGTTACATATATGGAGGATATCCTAGCAGAAATCTCAGAAAATTCTGTGAACACTGTTGTCATTGGCGATTTTAACATAAACATGAACGTAGTATCAACCTACAGCAGAAAACTCAATGAAGTTTTCTTGCAACAAGCCATGCAACAGCTGATAAATTTTAATACGAGGGTGACGGAACATTCGGAAACACGTATTGACTTGTTGTATTCCAATGATTACTAAGGCAGTGCGATTTCTCAAACTTAAATTTTTTCGATGCTGACGGTATGGTGGAGTATATTACTCACTGCATTATGTGGGCCATGAGGCAGTTGACTTACTCAAAAATAACTCGCATTAGGCAGAGGAACAAATGGTATGATAGGCAATTGACAGAGATGAACAAGTATAAATCTAAATCACATGAGAAAGCAGTGTTGTCAGGGTACTGGGGTGAATATAATTTAGTGAGAAGCAGATATAAGAAAATGGTAAGGTGTAAAAAAAGTAAATACCTAGAGCATAAGGTGGAAATAAATAAGGGTGACAGCCGACTCATGTGGAAATACTTAAAGGAGGTAGTCAATAACACGGAGGTCAAAGAAAATATTGGGGAAGTGATAATAAATAACACCAACTACGTAGACAGCTTTGAAATTGCGGAAAACCTAAATAATTTTTTCGTGGACAGCATTTTGGAAATACACACCAATATAGAGTGTGTAAACTATGATTTTTTCGAGCAACGAGCTCCCACAAGTACGCTAAAATTTGAAGAGGTCTCAACGGAAGACATTCTTCAAATTGCCAAAAAATTTAAGCGGAAAATTGGGGGAAACAACCTACTTTCTGAAGGTGTTATTAAGGACTCTGCTGATTATATGGGATATTTCTATGCCCTACTTATAAATAAGAGTCTCCAGTCAGGATCAGTACCGGAAGAATGGAAAATTTCATCAATAGTGCCCGTCAAGAAAGTTAGAAAAACGGTTAAAGCTGAGGAGCTTAGGCCCATCAATACTCTCCCTAGCTTGGAAAAAATGCTAGAAACCGCTGTGAAAAACCAGCTACAGTACTATGTGGAATCCAATAAAATACTCATAAAAGAACAATCTGGATTCAGAGCTAAACATTCCTGTGAGACTGCGCTGAATCTGGTGCTTTCTCAATGGAAAGAAGATCTGAACAGACACCTTAATGTAGTGGCAGTGTTTATTGATCTTAAAAGAGCATTTGAAACCGTTGATAGGGTCCGAATGTTGGATAAACTAAAATACATTGGTATAAAAAACACTGAGCTTGACTGGTTTAGAAGCTTTCTGTGTAATCGTAGGCAACAAACAATAGTTAATTCAAAGAGGTCTAGTAAGATAGCCGTAGACATCGGATTACCACAGGGCTCAGTTTTGGCACCCCTACTCTTTAATATATATATAAACGATATTAAAAGTTCTCTCAAACATTGTAAAATAAAACTCTTTGCGGATGATGCCTTGTTAACGATCAGTGATAGGGAACTACCAAATGCGATTGTCAAAATGCAAGAAGATCTTAATTCTTTGTATCAATGGCTGTGTTCAAATAAACTCAAACTGAATGTGAAAAAGACTAACTTTATGGTATTTTCCAGAGCGGCAAATGCTGACTCCATAAGCCGTGAATTAAAAATCAAAGATGAAAATATCGAAGAGGTGAAAATTGTCAAGTACCTAGGAATATACATAGACAACAAACTAAAGTTTGATGAGCACGTTGAGTATACAGTCAACAAGATTGCTAAAAAAATTGGCCTTATAAAGAGATCGTGTAAGTACTTGGGAAGAAGATATAAAACGTTGGTGTACAGGTCAATAGTAGAACCGCACTTTATATACTGCCCCACGATTTTCTTCCTAGCGGGGGACTCCCATGTAGATAAGCTGCAAAAAATGCAAAACCGAGCGATGAGATTCATCCTCAACAAACCGTATGACACACCAACAAGATGTATGCTTGAAACCTTGAATTGGTTAAGCGTGAAGCAACAAGTTTTTTACCACGCTATGAAATTTGTGTACAATATTAAGAAGGGCAACCTGCCGGATTATCTTAGCGATAATCTCCGATATATAAATGAGACGCATACATATTTGTTGAGAGAGAATAACAGCTTCAGACTCCCGAAGTATAGAACAGAAGTGGACAAAAAAAATATTTTCTATAAAGGCTTAAAGTGCTTCAATGAATTGCCAGAGGCTATAAAAAATTGTGATACTATCACTCTTTTCAAGCGGCTGCTACTTGACTATTGTAGAACGCAGCCTACAAGATAGTGATGTATCAACAATAGCGTGGATTGGAAACTAGGCCTTTCCAACCACCAAGATATCGAGACTAGGCGGATCGGAAACTCGGCCTTTCCGACTACCTAGACCCTTAGATAATAAACAATAAACGAGCGGATTGGAAACTAGGCCTTTCCAACCGTTAACCGTCACGAAAGCGCGACTGGGTGGATCGGAAACTCGGCCTTTCTGACCACCCAGGAGATATCAATAAATGGAGTAACCCAAAAAGAATAGCGCGGATTGGAAACTCGGCCTTTCCAACCGTCTACATAACTTCCAGGAAATTGCATGCGTGTATAATGACATAAAATAATTGCAGTGATAAAGAAATAATGTTATTTAAAAATTTCTGTAGAGCATTTTGTATTTTGTATTTAATATTTTATATTTATAT